TTTGCAGTGGCTTGTGTCTTTTTCCTCTGAGAGATCGTGTTTGCGGCCCACAGTCGCAGGAGGGGTCCTTCCTTACCTGGGGCCTCCCGACACCTGCCTTAGGGGCATCACTGTCCCCTGAGAATTAATGCGAGCCACAGATGGAAGTTTACATTTTCTAACAGCCGTAGTTTAAAAGGTGGTAAAAGAAAACAAGTGAATTTTAATAATATATTTCCCTTAACCCAGCATATCCAAAACATTACCATTTCAACATAGAATCAATATGACAAGGATTAAGATAATTCACCTTCTTTATGCTAAGAAAATCAGTATTTCACAGGACAGTGCCTCTCAATTCAGACCAGCCCCATTTCAGAGGATCAGTAGCTCAGGCAGCACAGTGACAAAGGGTTAAAGCTTTCCAACCTATATTTAGAAGGAAACATCTTTTTTTTTTTTTTTTACATTTTATTTTATTACAGGGAAGCATGTGATAAAACCACTCCCTTTCTCACACCCAGTGACATCGCTATAATGCTTGTTTCTACTATACTGAAAAAAAAATGTAAACACAACAGGTTTTAGTATGACCTCCCATTGTTATTTAGGCTTCTTAGGATTAGTTTAAAATTCACGAGAACAATTGTAAAGATGGTGCAGAGCTCCCATACACCCCACACCGAGTTTCCCCTGTTAGTAAGACCTCACTTCACTATGGTGCGCTGGTCACACCTAAGAAATCAACATTGATACATTACTGTTAACTAAGCTCTATACTTTTTTTTTTTTTTTTTTTTTTTTAAGATTTTATTAGGGACACAGAGAGGGAACCCAAGCAGGGGGAGTGGGAGAGGGAGAAGCAGGCTCTCCGCCAAGCAGAGAGCCCGATGCAGGGCTCGATCCCAGGACCCTGAGATCATGACCTGAGCCGAAGGCAGACGCTTAACAACTGAGCCACCCAGGCACCCCTAAGCTCCATACTTCATTGGAATGTCACTACTTTGTCCCTGTTGCTTTGTTCTGTCCCAGGATCCCATCAAGGATGCCCCATTATATGTGGTCCTCACGTCTCCTTACCTTCCTCTGGTCAATAACGGTGTCTCCCCTTTCCCTGCTTTAGCTGACCTTGACAAGTTTTGAGAAGCACTAGTCAGGCATGTTGTAGAATGTCCTTCAGTGAAGGTTTCTATGATACTTTTCTCATGGCTCAACTGGGGTGATGGGTTTTTGGAAGAAAGATCACAGAGGCGAAGTGCCATTATTAGCATGATGGGTCGTTGGGAGTCGCCACAGATGCTGTTGACCTTGATCACCTGGCTGAAGCAGTGTCGGCCAGGGTCCTTCACTGCCCAGTTACTTTTTCCGCTTTCCCATACTTGGGTCTTTGGAAGGAAGTCACTAAATCACTAAATGCAGCTCCGCCTCGAGCCCGCCTTCCCTTTTAAATAGCTATCCTGCTGTTATGCTGGATTTTCTTCGCTTACGTGCAGTTTCTTCGAGTGTAATTCGCTATAAATTCACTATAAGACTTGACGTCTGCGTTACGGTACAAGGGGTGGACATGCTGTAGTTTCAGAAATGGATTTGGAGTGGAAGGAGCACAGAAGGGTAAGAAGGCATTCCTAGCCACGGGGCCCTGTGGCCTCCAGTGCGGAGGAGGGAGGATGTGTGCCTTGGTGAGTAGCTTGTACTGGGGACCGGGGCGGGTGACCGTGAGTGTGGGACGTGGCAGGCAGCGAGGCAGGGAGTTCTGTATGTAAAATAAAATACATAGGACTACAAAAGAAGGGACTTAAGAGTGGCATGTAATTATCCACATGTCAACAACTGTGTGACATATTATATTGTGCTTCTTTTTTTTTTTTTTAAGATTTTATTTATTTGAGAGACAGAGAAAGCATGAGGTGGGGAGGGTCAGAGGGAGAAGCAGACTCCTCGCTGAGCAAGGAGCCCGATGCGGGACTCGATCCCGGGACTCCGGGATCATGACCTGGGCCGAAGGCAGTCGCTGAACCAACTGAGCCACCCAGGCGCCCCATCTTTTTTTTTTTTAAGATTGTATCTATTTGCGAGAGAGAGAATGAGGACAGAGAGCATGAGAGGGAGGAGGGTCAGAGGGAGAAGCAGACTCCCCGCCGAGCAGGGAGCCCGATGTGGGACTCGATTCCGGGACTCCGGGATCATGACCTGGGCCGAAGGCAGTCGCTGAACCAACTGAGCCACCCAGGCGCCCCATCTTTTTTTTTTTTTTTAAGATTGTATCTATTTGCGAGAGAGAGAATGAGGACAGAGAGCATGAGAGGGAGGAGGGTCAGAGGGAGAATCAGGCTCCTCGCTGAGCAGGGAGCCCGACGCGGGACTCGATCCCGGGACTCCAGGATCATGACCTGAGCCGAAGGCAGTCGCTTAACCAACTGAGCCACCCAGATGCCCTATATATTGTGCTTCTTAAGTTAAATAGTAGCATTGAGGCAGATCTCAACATAATGGCAAGGTGTGATAAGCGTATCTGGAGATACCTGCCACAATGTGATTTCAACTGCTGATAACTGGGGTGTGTTGCCTAAGCTTGAATGGAGGGGTACGCTAAACAGCAACTAGAGATTAGTCAACACAGAGACACATTTTACCCTCATCCCAGTACACGGCCCCTGAATTCTAAACACGGACTGCTGGTTGGAGAACCCCAGCTTAGGGAGACTTACCTTTAGACGCAGGAGGCGGAGCTTTTCCCACACTCACTAGTAAGCACCTTTTCTGTGTCAGGTGCTGTGCGGGCGTCAGAACCGAGAAAGGGCAGGGGATGGCAGAGCTGGGAAGCAAGCACCGCGGTAGCGGGTGCCTACGTGAGCTTTGGGAGTGGGGGTGTGGCGGGGCCTGCCACGCTCAGCAGCTCGGGACTCGGGCTTCCACCGAGGGAAGGAACTTTTACAGGTGTTGGCATGCACCAGATGTATTGAGAGAGAGTATACCCAGAGGCTTTTTGCCAGCTGGGGGATCCATTTCTGTTCTCCTAGCTGCTTGTTTGGGTTTCTATCCCCTAACCCTTGGGTTTCAGTAGTAGCTGGGAGAGCAAGTGTGCACTGAGATGAACCATCTCCGGGATCTGTAGGGACAGTGGGGGCCTTCACCCGCCACCTTTTTCATTGTCCCTTCTCAGACACACCCTCACTGTCATTGGATTGGTCCCTCGATGTAGCCCCAATCCATCTGGTTACATACTAGTCTTGGGCTACTTAGGCTGCATGGAAACTCTTCAACTGTGTCCCACATGGAATCCAAGGGCAGAAGGTAAAACCCAGCCGTGTGAGGTTGGAGACCAGATAAGGGAGGGGACTTGGGGAGCACATCAGCCTCATTCTTTGTTCTTTCCAAGATTTCTGTGTATCTCCAAAGCATAAAACGCTAGTCCTAACCCAAAGGCTATGACCTTCAGGTTCTTGGACATGGAACCAACCAGGTCTTTGTGTCTCCTAAGGGAAAGAGAATCATTGATTCAGCTTGACTTAGGTGTCCACTTGCTGTCCAATCAACTATGACTGGGTCCACCCTCCTCCCACCCCCTCCCCCCACATAAGTGCTTCAGGAATTCTAAGCAATTGATGTAGTTGTAACAGGTGAATTGTCGTGTGCTCTGCATGGCTAAATTCATTGACAGCCAAACTCACAGTTGCAAGACAGAGCCTTCCTCACCCCTGCTTTGAGAAGTGTTTTCTTAATGCCCCGCCCTCCGCAGGAAGCACCTGCCAGGTGACAAGGGTGCCCTGCAGAGCCGGACACAGTAGTACGTGTGGAATCTGTAATGTGGTTTACCTTAGGCGTCCTTTCCTCCGAGATTTCTCTTCTATCCCCAGGGCCAGCACAAGTGCCCAGCACCTAACGGGAGGTTTTCATTAAATAGATAAACACTTCCTCTAATAAGAGTAATATTTATCAAGTACTATTTTTCTTCCCCTTTTTATTCTTTATCTGTGAGGATGAGTGATCCTTGTTTCACAGATAAGAAAGCCAAGGCTCAGAGCGATTAAATGGCTTGTCCAGTCATTTCTAAAACAGACCACGTCCCTCGCTGCCTTTTAAAACAGTTCACTGAGCACATGACAAATGCAACCATCTATTGATGTCTTGGGATTGCAGAACATCAGCTTAGTTTACCGGGGCTGAAACTGCAGATGCCCTTCAGGCTTTTAGTGCTTGAGGAGATGTTTGTCACTCTATTAAATAGTCCCACCCAGGCTCGGATGACCTGTGTTTTACCGTATCTTCAACCTCGTTCTTAATTCTTCTGTCTCCTTCTCTGCTGGCAGGCTGACATTTTCTCATTGCTATCAATAAGGCCGCTTTTAGCTGCTTCCTCGACCTTGATGTGGGATGGACTAAGAAATCCACTTTGTTAGTCTTGTGTGAAAAACAAGAGCACTCCGGTTTAGCTTGGAAATCTGGAAAAATTCTTTGCAGAATATAATCTATGGAAACATACACAGGCTGGTGCCAGATTTTTCAACTTCTTAGAAGTCATTTTTGCTCGGTTCAGTATTGGGAAAGAACCCAGATTCAGCTGGAACTTAGACTTCTCAATATGTAGGATGCTTTGGCATTTTCATTTCATCGGGGAGGGGATCAGGAACACTGGCACCTCGGCCGTATGCTTTTTTTACCTTCACAATAAAATGCTCTGGCCATTTCCCCCAAATCCCATGTTCCTAAAACTTCACCCTCCTGATAAATCATGAGAAAGTTCTCCCCAAAGCTACACATTTATCTAAATCTGGGGCATCTATAGGACTCCATGATCTAACTTCCAATTTTGAGAAAGGTGTGCTTTGGGATAGAAGTGTTTTTGGAACGAATTCATGTGGCAGTTATTCTTTTATTGGAATTGACTCTACCCCGACTTTATTATAATAGCATAATGTTTTTGAGGGAGTGGAGGTGGGAGATTTGACCAGAGGGCATCAAACGTGTCTTTCACCCTATGTACTCCGCTGTATGCACATCTGTTCACATAGCAGAACACATTTGGTTTGGGAGACAGACAAGTATGGCACCTTTCCTGCCTTAAAGAAGCAGGGTGTTTAATCAAATTATAGCATCTAACGAAGACATCAAATAAAAATGTTAAGGGATCAAGCTGCATATGATTAAAGTAAAAAAGCACTCCACTGAACACTGGTGACACTTTTTCTTTATATTTGCTGCTGTGAAGTAACGATCTAAAAAATAAAATATACCGACACATACACTGACTCCGATTTTTACTATAGTTTTGCTGACTATCCCCCATTCACGAGGACACGGAAAATCAGCCAACAATAACTGGTTTTGTTAAGCGCTTATGGCGTGCCAAGCTCTGTTCTAACACTGCGCGCCATTTGCATTTTACTCACCCATCATCGCCACCACGAGGTAGGTGCTATCATTTTCTGCCTTTCACAGCTGAGGAAATTGAGGCTCAGGGGGGCTCGGGGAGGAATTCCAGTAAGGAATAAAGTATAATAAGGTTCACGTGACTCCCAAAGTCAGAGCCGTTTCCATTTTATCCCGCAAGCTTCCTTACACTTCTCTCCACTCCCGCCGGTTCCTAAGGCAACCGGCAAAAGATACCCATCCTATCCATCTCTCCATGCATCCAACCCCTGCTTACCCGGTCCCTGACACATGCCATGCACTGTGCTAGGCCCAGAGGATACAGTCATAGTCCCTGACCTCAAGGTACCCACAGTCTAGTTGGAGATGTAGAAAGGCATTGAATAAATGAGTCAGTAAATGAACGAATAAACCCATGAATGCTGAAGTTTCCTTTTTATGTTTATGGGAGGTGTCTCCCAGCCTGGACCCATTTGTAGTGCCGATCTTTTGTGAATTCCAGAATTCATCTTTCTGAGCCCATCTCCAAACTTGTAGCTATTTTTATTACCATACATAAAATATCTGGGACCTACTTTCCACCATTTGCACATTCATTGAACATATTCAACACTCCGTCGTTGCGCCTCATAACTGAATGTACAAGAAAATCCACCAGATCCAGGAAGTGATTTTGCTGATGATTTATTGCTTTAAGGAGAAAAGCATAAACGGGGAATTTGAGCAATGAAAATCCTTCACATTGAACAAACGTTCCACGCTACACAAATCATGAGAAAAATGAGGAATGTTGTAAAACATGACAGATTGCCCAAGTGCTATTTTTCCTCAGTTGGGAAATTCCAAGACATTCCTTCTTTTGTATTTTTTAGTCACTTGCAAAAATGGCGCTAGGAATACTTACATATGAAGTCACAGTCTGAAAATAGATATAGACATACATATATATATATACACACACGCACACATATGTGTATGTGCAGAGATACACAGGTGACCATTCTGACCGTTCATGAGTCCCAGCTGTGCAGGCTTATTGCAGTTACTTACTTTGGATCAAGATAAGTCTTTAAAAAAGCAGTGACCTAATTCGATATAATAGTCAGGGGCTACATTGCTTCTCCATTATCTCTAACACAGTACAATGTTAATGAGATTATATCAGATGGATCATATCATTCAAATCTACTTTCTTGGGGGCGCCTGGGTGGCTCAGTCATTAAGCATCTGCCTTCGGCTCAGGTCATGATCCCGGGGTCCTGGGATCGAGCCCCACATCGGGCTCCCTGCTCAGTGGAGAGCCTGCTTCTCCCTCTCCCACTCCCCCTGCTTGTGTTCCCTCTCTCGCTGTGTCTCTCTCTGTCAAATAAATAAATAAAATCTTAAAAAAAAAAAAATCTACTTTCTTTGCTCACTCTCTGAATCACTTTGAAATTAACATTGCAATTATTGTCCTCTTGTCAGTAAAGCATCTCTTGTACCTTTTGAATTGGGGGGCCTGCTAACTGGGCTTAGTGTCAGGAAAGATGGCTCAGGTGTCAGATGGAGCCTGGTTTGCAATCCTGGTCCACAGTTCACTAGCTGGTAAGACACTGAACAAATAACTTAACCTCTATGAGCCCCAGTGTCTTAGCTCTAAAACAGGGAAATGATTATAATGCCATATCTCATAGGTTTGCTATGGGGATTAAATAAGGTATAGCCAGGAAGCACCTCGCCCAGGCCTGGCACTCAGGGGTCCTCCCCAAATGCTGAGGATAAAGGTTTAGCAAGAAGCGATGGTTTGGTGAATGCAGGTTTCCTCTCTCTCCCCACCTGAGCATGCCAGAGAAATTCACTCTAAGCACTAATGTGAGTTTCTTCACCAAAGGTTAACAAATCCTTAGCATATCTTTCCCTCGTCCTGGAACATGGAGTTACAAAGGACTGGAGAGACCGTCTATCTCATCTACTGGATGCCCTGCCAATGAGACACTTGGAGGCCTGGAGGTCTCCCCGGGAGCAAGGTCAAGTGGAATAAACAGGGATTTGGGCTCCAACTTGTTTTGGCTGATTTCTCAGCCTCTTTGAATCTCAAATTTTTCATGTATAAAATGGGGACAAGAGGCTTACTCACACTTGTAGTGACAATTAGTAAGATAATTTAAAAGCTAGCAAAGTGAGTGGCACCACATAAGCTTTCAATAAAGGGACATTTTTGCATTGTGATTATTATTCTTAACTTTCACTGAAGTACGTCACACCAGGGCAGAGTGATTGTGGCTGCTAGAAAGATCTTCCTCACTTTGGTCCCAAACTTCCTTCCCCGTGACTTCAAAACATGGAGCTGAGACCTCCCCTGCATAGGACAGGTCTGTTTCTCAAATTCCAACTGTGGCCACTCTGGCCCACTCAGTCCCAGGATAATCCCAGATTCCTCCAACCTGGCTTCCTAGGATCTTAGAAGCCACGCTCATTTCCCCAAATTGAGATGCAAACTCATTAAGAACCTAGCTCTTGGGTTTCTGCTGAATTTCAAATGTGGTTAGCTGTCATCCGGTCCTCTTAATTTATAGATTTCACTCCGAGAAAATCCAACATAGATCCACACAAGGGCTTTTTGGAGAACCTATTCGTGGGGTGAATGCTCTTCACACAAGAATTATTTTTTTTTTAATAAAAATGTACATTTCTTTAAATATTAAATGTATCTTTCCCTATGATACTTAAAATAAGATTTGGCTGATGAAAATTAGATTGGCACGTACCTTTGGAAGAAGAGAGCCTCTGAGTAAAAGTAGGAAAACATACACAGGTTCTTTTATTCATCAAATACGTGTTGAGCTCCGCTGTATGCCTTGTACTGGGCCAAGCAAGTGGGAGGTCACAGTCAGGAGGGCACCTTCCTTTTGTCCTACTACAGAATCCCTCTGTACACCACACAGAATTTCCTGGGGAATAGCCCACACATCCCTCATCTGCAGCATTCGGTAAACAAAATCGTCTTTTAAATGCACAATGAGATCTAGTTCTGATTTGAGGGGGCTATCGGTAGGGGATTCGTGGGTTTTTGTCTAGCCCATATATTTTTGGATGCTCAGGCACCTAAATTATCAGAAAGTCAGATACTCTTCTCTTGGGAAAGGAGCCAGAGAGACAGTAAAAAGACTGAGAAACGAGAGCGTGAAGTCGGTGATGCGGACATATTTTCCTTCTCGACACGTCTGGAAGCTCTAAGCGTAGGGGCAACAACATGGGTTAGAAAGTCAGCCGGACTTGGGTTAGAATCCCGCTCCTCGACTCACCAGCCGGGCAACTTTGGTCAAGGCTCCATACCTCTCTGAGCTTCCATTTCACATTTGTAAGAATAGAAATAATAATGGGCACTTTTCAGCATGATTGCGAAGCTTCTCCACGAGCTAACACACATATAGCACTGAGAACTAGGTCTGGTACACAAAAGGTAAATAAAGGTAAATAAAAGAATTATAACAGTAAATATTTATATTCTACTAATAAGATAAATAATAGCCTCATTTCCACTCATAACAACTTTCTGTTCCTTTTAAGCTCCAACCCCTTTTTGGCTTTTAATCCTGGTTAAATATATTTCTGTTTCTAAACAACTGGTAAGCCTCTGTCTTCACACCAGAACTGGGTTGTTTGGGTCAACAGACCCGAAGTCTCTGGAAAGGGTCCCTGTGGCAGAAAGAGAGGTGTCCGGTGCCCAGTATGTGACCTGACCCTGCTGCCCTAGGCTGATGCCGAGTGGATCCACTTCTTGGTTTGACCCACATACAGCCTGCAACCGTGTCAGTTATTTCAAGTGGGGCTGGCCCAGACATCTGCTGGGCCTCCCAGGGCTCTGTAAGAGCAGAGGAATGTCCTGGGATGCCACTCCCAGGGGCCATGGAGGCCATCCTAGGGGCTCCACCAACTCCCATGAGCCCTCAAGCAGGGAGAGGGTCTAGATGTGCGGCAGAGTTGGCCAAGTGCCCAGCGTCCTGTGGGTCAGCAGCAGATTCATGCTAGTCCATCACCTCTTCTGAAAATTGGCTGACCCTGCCCTGACCCTGCAGTATTGACTGGAGACTTTTCCCATGAATAAGAATGAAAGTTATCAAATTGCATTTCTGACCGGAATGAGCCCAGTTTGTACCCTTTACACGGCAGGGCTGAAGAGAGACTTAACCTCCACAAAGCCTGGGTTAATGAACACAATTTTCCTTTAAAAATCAAAACCAAACAACCGTTCACCTCACTTGGCAAATATTTGGTGACCTTAGGGGGCACAAATCTCCAGACTCAGAGCTACTGAGGTGTGCTATGGTCAGAACTATCTATTAGAATGCCCCTTGGCAGGGCCCAGATGATAGACTGTTCCAGTGTCCTAAATCCCATCTGTCCTTCTGAATGGACCCAAAGAGTCTTGTGGCTTAGCATCGAGAACGGGAATGGGTGATATTAAATGCCTAGCTGATTCTGCTCCTCGGGACTCCGGCAAGATCCAGCAAGACTTCCGGTGACTTGGACAGGCTTGGGTTTTGTCCAGAATCATTGGAGATGGGCACTTTCTCTGGAGTGTATGCAGCAGGCTGCCAAGGAGGGGACTCATACCCTGGGCCCGAGCAGCACCATAATGGGTCATCTGGGTGGCTGGAGATAGGACAGGGGGCCAAGGATCTGGATCAGGACAGTTAGAAGTCCGTGGGAAGTGGACAAAGAAGGCTCAGCTGTGGTCCTCAGAGGGTTGGCTTTACAAACATTGGGCCAGGCCCCGAGCCCCGTGTTTTGTGCCTGCCTAATTGGCAATTTCTGAGAAGTCAGGGTAGGATTCTAAGTCAGCAAAGATATCGTTGGGATTCCTACAACTCAGGTTGCAGAAGCAAGCATTAATCCATAGGACCTGGCGGGAGAAGCCAGGCCCATCGGGACACTGGAAGGAGACATCGATGGTCTTGGACTTATAGGGGGTGCAGCACCTGCTGTCCGTGCAGACCCCACAGTACTTCGGCCGGTAGGGGCGTGTGCTGATGCAGCCGGCGAGGGTGAAGTTCATGGGCGCCTCTGGCTGGTACACGGCCAAACACTTCTTCCCTTCCTGCAGGAAAGGAGGTTTCAGTTGGGATGCTCAGAGGATGAACAGCCACCTTCCTCCCTCCAAGCCCTCAATTCTCCCTTTGCACTCAACGTGCAGGCCCACTCCACCTTTCCTTCAGGTTTGTGGCATCTTTAAGCTGGGAGGGACCTCCCCAAGCACAGCAAGACGCAGCCACGTTATGCAGGACTAACTTCGGACCTCACGGGACACTGTATTGCAGAGGTGGTTCCTCGCAACCCGCAATGTCCTCTTGCCTACATTTCTGCCTCGCCAATGCCCAGGACCCCGTCACAGTTGTACCAACACAGAAAGCCCGTGTTGCCTCTCCAGTCTACCCAGCGTCCCGGCTAGCCATCCCGGGGCTCCATGACTGGGCCATGCGCTTTCCCCGAACCTGCCCCTCCTCCACGCACCCCCGCCCCGCCTCCCACACACACCCTCCTCACATAACTTGTCCAACCGCAGTGCGTTCTGTAGAGTCTGCTCTGTCTCTCCACTGGGATGTGGGCCAGGCAAGAGGAGGGCCCTTTCTGTCACTACAGGCCAAGTCTGTGCCTGGTACACAGTAGGTACTCACTAAACTCATTGCAGGAATGGCTCTACTATGTTCCGGCATCATTCCAGAACTCGGGGTAGAGCAGAGCCAGGCTCGTGGGGCTTGAGGCTTACACAGTTCAAGGAGCCATCGGAGGCTCACAAGTACAAAACCAAATTTGAGTGCAAAGCATGAGCCAACAGCGAGGACGTGAGGTGGCGCTGGGGTAGAGCACCCTCCACCTCGAGTGCCCTGGGCATTCACCCAGCTTAAGACCTCTGCCCCTGTTTCTCCTGCTGCTGGTCGCTTTTCCATCCATGCTCCCAGGAAAGCCACATCTTCTGAGTACCTACTGTGCACCGAGCACCAAGAATACGCAGGCCAGCATGGCCGAGGTCACTGATCAGAGAGAGAAGAGAAGAAGAAGGACGAGGTGGCAGGATCGGGCTGGCCGGCACAGAGATCACTGGAGTAGGGGAAGGGGACAGCAAGCGAGGAGGATTTGTGGGAAGCTGAGCTGCCTTGTCTCCCGGGCACCCCTCTCCTCAGCAACCCCAAGAAACCATCAGTACTCCAAAAATGGAGTCAGTGCTGAGTTTTTGGTTTTTTTTTTTTTTTCTTTTCCATGCAAGGCAGATGACCAGTCCTAAGATAGAAGCCAGGAGGCCTTGAGAGAGGCAAATCAGACCCATTTCTCACTGCTGTAACCTATTCTGTCCCGGATCCTTTGTTTTACTGATCTTAGACTCTCCAAGCTGGAGGAGATGTCTGAGACCAACCCCGTGTTTTACTGATGAGGGGCCTGGGGCTCCGAGATGTGGAGAGCAGCCACCATCCTGTGCAGCCAGCAGTAGACGGGCACGTGACCCCCGCTGTCCTGAGCCCTGTTTCGAGCTCCCTGACTGCCCAACGCAGCTGTCATGCGTGCTGGGACAGGAGCAGAGGGGGAGTGGCGGCCAGTGAGGGTCACCTCCACATCACCACCGGAGAGCACTTGTTCCCATTTCACAAAGGGCCCCCACGAGGAAGTCCAGGGGCCAGGCTTGAAGCGGGGCCTGTCTGTCTGGAAGTCCGACGCGCCTCCCCCCTCCCCACCCCCCCCAACGCCCCCCCGGAAGGTGGACTGACCTTGATGTGTGGACGCATGTCCACGTCACAGGGCCGCAGGTTGCAGAGGCGGCTCTCTTGCTCGGGCCAGCAGTGGCTGTTGGCGTTGGAGATGCGAGTAGAGATCCCCAGTCCACAGGTGGTGGAGCAGGGACTCCAGGGGCTCGTGTAGGCCAGGCAGTTCCCGTGCCACGGCTCCGTCTCACCTGTGGCCGCTGAGGACAGGGACCAGACTCCCCGTGAGCTTCCTGCCGCCGTCAGCACACACAGGGTCAGGGACCCTGAAGCTCCCAGGGGAGGGGTGCGGGCTGTCTCCCCCACCCCCAAAAGGGCAAGTCAGCTTCTAACCAGCATGGGTCCCCAGGGAGAGGAGGACCTCTTTTGAGCTCTTACACTTCTCTGGAGGAAAGACCATCTTTACAGAGAGGTGGACCAGAGTGCAAATCTGCTCAACCACCTATAAGCTGTGTGGTTCCAGATAATTCCCTCTGGGCCTCAGTGTCCTTACTGGAATAAAACATCTGCCTTTCATGGCTGGTGTGACAACGAAAGAACCTGTTTATTGAGTATATATTGGGCATCTGCAAGGTGCTGGGATTTGAAGAATGAAAGATACTGTACCTGCCCCTACAGAGGTCAAGTTTATTTGGAGAAAATCAGAGGGAGTGTCCATACCCTAGAGCCTGATATCTCATCTGGGTGATGCTGAGGGCACAGTGGGTAGGGACACACACCCTTCAGAGCCACATTGCCTGGGTTCAACTCTGAGCACAAGCACTTAGTAGCTGGGCAACTTCCGATAGCCCCCACCTCCATGCCTCAGTCTCCCCACCTGCAAGGGGGGCGCTGATAATCTCATCTCCCTCCGAAGGCTGTGGACTGAAAAGATGGGTTCACGCATATGAAAGCCAGAAAGCCAGCCCTGGCTCAGTAAATGTGAGCTTTCATGGTTTCTTGACTGACAACTAAACACCAACTCTTGGATGGTTCTGTTAATGTATGCATCCCAGCCTCAAGCGCTCAAGTATTCTCCGAGTAATGGAAAAATGGATGGAGCTCAAGACGGAGGCAGGTAAAAAGCCAGAAAGACAAAGGAGAGATCCCACGGAAAGATGGCACAAGATACACAAGAGAAGGATCTGAAGAGGACGCCAGTCCAGCCCTGACACAAACACACACACAGGCAGGCGGGCACTCACAGGAAGCCGAGAAGGGGACAGGCAGAGGGGGAGAGGAGGAGAGACAGATGGTAGGGCAGGGGAAGAGGGGGAGGAGGGGAGAGGGAAGGGGAGGGAGAGAGTGTGATTTGGAGGGGAGAACAGGAGCTGGGAGGAAAGGAAAAGCAGATTGGGGGAGGGGCAGAGAGGAGGAAAGGGAAAAGTAGGAAAGAAGAGACACCTAATGGGATCAGAAGGAGGGAGGAAGGAGAAGGGGAAGGAAGGAGCAGTGCTGGATGCCCAGACCCTCCAAGTTCACAGGTGTGCAGGGAACAGGGCTGGACAAGGCAGGAATGAATGTGTGAGAGAGGGAAGCTTTGAGAGACGGAAGAAAGCCAGGAGAAGCATCTGAGGGCAGAGGAGAATGGGGCTGGGATGAGCCAGGGGTGTGAGCATGGAGGAAGGAGGCGGAGGGAGGGATTTGCCTAGGAGGATAAAAGGGCTTTGGTTTCTGGGTTGCCCACTAGCAGGCAGGGGCCCTGCTTGTACTGGGTCAGAACGGGTCACCGGGCCACATACGATGGGCAGACAGCCACTACCCCGCCCCTGTGACCCTCGTGTGGCTCTGCCCGTTGGAGGCTGTGGCGGGCCTCGTAGGGACTGAGCTTCCTCTGCCCCCTCCTCTATGGACACTGGGCGGCTTCTTCATGGGGCTGGCTCTGCCCCTGGGAGCCACCCCAAGCCCCTCCGGAGAGGCGGGGAGGGGCAGGACCGCCCTCCTCCTTGGCCCAGGCAGAGCCACCGAGGGCACACAGCCTGGGGGCGGGTCTCAATCGCCCCAGCCTTCCAGTGTGTTCTCTGAAACACCTTCTTCACTTCTGCAAAACCTCTTTCTCCTGGTTCTGTCCTGCCTCTTGGGTTCGTCTTTCTCAGCTCTTTTCTCTCCCTCACCTTAAATGGCGGTGTCTTCAGGGCCACAATTGTGGTTCTCCCCCAGACGATTGGGTCCCACAGGGTACAAATGGCAACATCTGGAGGTATTTGGGGTTGTTGCCATTTGGGGGGGGGCAGGTGCTCCTGGCATCTAGTAGGTAGAGGCCAGGGGTGCTGCTAAACATCCCACAATGCACAGGGCAGCCCTCCCCACAAAGTCTTCTCTGGTTCAAGATGTGGTCTGTACCAAGGCTGAGAAACGCTGCTCGGCGCAGCCTCCCTGAGCAATCTCACGCACTTATAATTAAAAAAAAAAAAAATTACCAGTACCCTTAGAACTCTGCTGGGCGATACCAGGGCAGGGCCCCCAGCCTCAAACTCAAGCTGTTTCAAACAGTGCAGTTCTTCACCCCCAGTGTGCTCCTCTCGTTTTCTCTCCCAGGTCATTATGAGCCTGGAGAGTCGCTGTCTACCCTTCTCTCTCCTTCACTCCATGCAGTGGATTGATGCCATGGCCTCAGTCTTACTCCTCATGCAGTGCCTCTCACATCTGTCCCTTCCTTGCCACCTCCACTTCCACTGCCCTCGCTCAGATCCTCATTGGCCCATCCATCCATCCATCCATCCATCCATCCATCCATCCATCCATCCATCCATCTATTGGTCTGCCCATCCATCTATCCATCCATCCATCCATCCATCCATCCATCCATCCATCCATCCATCCATCCATCCATCCATCTATTGGTCTGCCCATCCATCCATCCATCCATCCATCCATCCATCCATCCATCCATCCCTCCCTCCCTCCCTCCCTCCCTCCTTCCCTCCCTCCCTCCATCCGCCCATCCATCCATCTATTGGTCTGCCCATCCATCCATCCATCCATCCATCCCTCCCTCCCTCCCTCCCTCCATCCGCCCATCCATCCATCCGCCCATCCATAAGACAACCATCTATTTGGTACCTCCTAAGTGGCTGGCACTGGGCTACTCCAGTAAGCAGTGGTAAAACCAATGGGCCTGTCCCTGGCCTCCCTTTCCAGGGCTTCCTCTGGCCTGGTGTACCTGGCTGCAGTCTCACCTGTGCACAAATCCTCCATAGTGAGGAGAAGCCACCCACTCTCTCTCCCGCCCTTACGCCTTGTCTCCCTGCTTCTCCTCCTCGGGTGCCTGCACACCCACCCTTCCTGCACCTCCACTTCCCAGTTTAATATCTTAAGTAGGATAACAATGAATCCCATGTGTCTGGCTTTGCTCTTTATAAAGCTCTTGCTCATTTTATGTTGGGAGGACCTCATAGAACAGTTGGGACAGATGGAGAAATAGGGTCCCAGAGGACAGGTGGCTTTGCCAAGGTCGCACAGCTAGTGGGTGGTCGTCTGGGGACTGGGACTCGTTGCGCGTGCGGGCCAATCAGAGGGGGTCAGGGCCCCTCCCCCCCCCCGCCTGCCCCCGCACCCACCTAGGGCGCCGGTGTGGCGCTGCGCTGTCTTGCGTGGCCTCCTGGCGTCGGGGTCGCACACCCACTGCTGGCAGCAGCGGCCGGGGACGCTGACCCGCCGGGGGCGATGGCACCAGAGGCGCGGGGGGCGCGCGCGCAGGCACAGGGGTGTGCAGCCCACCGCGCCGTCCACGCACGTGCAGTTGTACTTGCAGTTGGGCTGGAAGGACTGGCCGTTGGTGTAGCGCACCCCGTCCAGGACGCAGCCCACGCCGACCACCTCTGCAAACACACGCGCCGCGCGGGTCAGGCCCGCTGGGCTCGCGCCCCGCCGGGGACACCGCCCGCCTCGACCCGGCCCGACCCCGGGGAGCGCCCGCCCTGGCGGCTGGCGGCCAGCAGGACCGGGGAGTGTGGCGAGACCTGAGCAGAGGCAGTGAGGGAGTGTGGGGTGCAGCTCAGCCACCAGCCATCAAGTGACCCCGTGTCAGGCTGGCAGCGCTGAGAAGGTAGAGCCTGGCCGGGGCAGGAACCTGTGCCACCTGTCGGTCCCGCCGCCGGCACATGGCACAGAGCCGAGGACTGACGGAGACCTCTCGGGCCATGGTTCTGAGGGGCCGGTGTAAAACCAATCCAAACACTTTGGAACAAAGATTCCACTCATTCAGTGCATGTATTTATGGAAGGTTCTAGGCACTGGAGATTCGGGGAACAAAGTGGACAAAACCATGCCCACATAGAGCTTCCAGTGCAGTGGGGGTAACACAGGAAAGACGAACAGATCATGCAGAGTGTTGAAGGGTACCAATACCAGGGAGAAGAGCAAGAGGAGGGGCGGCTGGGGGGGCACCTCACCCGGGTGATGCTGCTTCGGCAAAGGTGGAAGGACTAGAGCAAGTTCGCTGGCACTGGTGTTGGGGGGAGGTCTCCCAGGCAGGGAGGGAGCAGGCCTGGGGGGTTAGGGGGTGGGGGCCCGAGATGAGGTGAGAGAGGGTTTCCTTGGGGGCTCGGGGCTGTTAGCACCTAGACACACAGTATGTGCTCCGTAAGCAACTGTCGACCCCCCTCTAGGAATCGTGCTTCCCAAGAGCACAGGAGGTGCTGAACAGAACAGGCAGTAAGGACAGTCAGGAGGCCACCCCTATCATCCAGGCGAGAGGTGGCCGTGCTTGCACCCTGGAGGGACCCGGAGCCCTGAGGAGGGCTCAGCTTCTGGGTGTGTTTGGAAGGAACAGCCGCCGGATGAGATGGGAGGAGCAGAGGAGTGGGGTTAGGAGTGACTCCTAGTTCTATGACCTGAGCCCTGGCAGGGGAGGGATGGATGCTATGTCCTCGGAGGAGCTGGTTTTGGGGTGAGTGGCCTTAGGCGTTCTTCATTAGATATGAGATCTGGTTAAAGAAACCTAGGGGGCAGGAGGGGTGTGGAGCCGCTGGGCCCCCCAGCACCACCCCCTGGCTGCTTGAGGACAGTGCCTGGAAGTGCATGTGGACAGCTCCCAGGCAGCAAGGGTGCCCACCCAAGGACGGCTAGTTTGGAATCCGCAGTCTGCCAGTGGCTCCAGTGGATCGCCCCAGTTTGCTGGCAGGTGGTCACTGATACTAATAGTCCCAGTATCTAACAGGAGTGAAGTGTTCCTAAGCGCTGTCTCTGTTCTTGGTCGCCTGACCTGCTATGTGCCAGGCTTCCATGCATTGCTGATTTCCTCTTAAAAGGAAACACCGTCCCATTTTCACATACAGCAAAACTGAGTCTCAGTGAAGTTAAGTCTCGCGCCGAAGGCGACACAGCTAGATGCTGAGTCTCAGCCTGTGGGAATGTTGGCATGACTGCTCTTTTTCCTGGGAGGTGATCGTGCAGGGTGGAGGCGCAGAAAGGAAGGCACTCCCGCTCACTGGCCATCTGATCTTGTGCCAGGCACCATCTGATATGTTATCTCATTCAGTTCTCCCAGTAAGTTCACGAGGAGAGTTTTATTTTCCCCGTTTGGCAGACAGGGAGGTCCAGTGATTCATTAGCTCAAGGTCACCCAGCTGGTGAAGGATAGAGCTGCACTTCAGTCCCTGGGGATCTGACTCCACAGCCCATTTCCTTCCACCAGACACCAGTAAAGGAGGGGAAATTGGAAAAAAAAAAAAAAAAAAAACCAAAACACTAAAGGAAAACAAAACAAAGCAGAGGAAGCCCTGGGTGAATCACTCATCCTTTTGTTCTGAGTCACCCCCGACTGTGCCCTTGCTCTGGGAAGGTGTGAGCACGCGTGTGTGCGCGTGAGTGTGTGTGCACACTAGTGGAGGGGGCGAAGGGAGTGTGCTGAAGCCTGCTCTCTGGCCATGTGTGGAGGAACGCTGGAGGGACAAAGCAGTACTGGGTGCCTGGGAACCCTTAGCACACTGGCGCCACCTGGGGGCCTTTCAAAAATTCCGATGCCCACACCGTGCCCCAGAATATGGGCGTGGACCTGAGACTCAGTATTTTTGTTACTTTTTTGAACTTCGATGTATTTTTTTAAGATTTTATTTATTTATTTATCAGAGAGAGCGAGCACCCAAGCAGGGGGAGCGGCAGGAAGAGAGAGAGGGAAAAGCAGGTCCCCCTCTGAGCAGGAAGCCCGATGCGGAACTTGATCCCAGGACCCTGGGATCGTGACCTGAGCCGAAGGCAGACGCTTAACGACTGAGCCACCCAGGCGCCCCGCCTGTGATATTTTTTAAAGCTCCCCAGGTGAATCCAGTTTGCAGCCAAGAGTGGGAACCACTGCTTCCAAAAGCTGCTCCCAGTCTCCTTGGGAATTTGGGGCAGGTGGGGACAGTGGAGGTTGCTAGTGGCCCTGAGTATCCTGCCCACCATAGGCTAGAGGGAGAGTAGAGTGCATGATATGTATGGTGCCTGGGCCTGCAGCAGACTCTAAAGCCCCCTCCTCATTCACTTTTAAACTAATGGAAGGACCGGCTCCTGGTGAAGCTCACCATCCCCTATCTAATCTCAGGCTTGCAAGTACAGGTATGGTGTGGTGAGCCTTCCTCTTACTGAAGGACCTATAAGTCCTTGGCTCCACCATCCAGGCCTTCACTTCCCTCACCCACCCCCTAATGGACTGTCAGCTGCATGGGAGCAAGGACAGTGGGTCATGCCTTGTTGTAACCCAACTGTTGCATTATCACCCACCTATTCATAACTGTGTGAATGAGTCAGTGGATGGAGGGATGGATGGAGGGATGGATGGTGGGATGGATGGACAGACGGATATATGGATGGAAGGGAGGTGGGGTGAGCCCTCATCTGTATTGGGCTCCTCCCACGTGTCAGGTTCTTGAAATCCCAACCACCCAAAGAAGTAGGTATTATTTGTCGCATTTCCTTGATGACAAAATTGACACTTAAAAGGTTAAGTAGCTTGCCCAACGTCACCATATTAGTTATGGAGCTGGAATCTGAACTTTAGATTGTCTATCGCCAAAGACCATGCAGGAGCTGTCTACTCCTTCGCTCTTTACACCGGGGAGTCTAGCCTGGAAGGAGAGCTGCCTCCTCCTCTGAGGATGACTGTGTACAAAACCGAGATAATTTCTGCAAGGGAAAGTTAAAACAAAGCAAGTAAAACAATGACATAGAACAGCCGGTCACATCTGAGGCTTTAATGCGGTCCCTTGTTTATTCTCAACAGCTGCATGAGGTTGGTTTGATCAAGATACTTAAGTGATGTGCCCAAGGTCACGTAGCCAGCGAATGGCAGAGCCAGTATTCAAAACCCAGATCTGTCTGCCTGTAAATTGCATGATCCTTCCAGCAAACCACCCTGCTCTCAGGCCTGGCCCAACTGTATTAAGCACAGAGTAATGTTTGTACAACCAAAATAGCCAAAGAGTGTAATTCAGAGGTCACTCTTTGCCCATAGAAGTATTTAGTTTGGCCTACAGAACGTTTTGGAAAAAAAAAAATTTGGAACATATTGCCAACATTTACAAATCATACACAAATCTGGACTTTTGGATTCTCTTGGAAACTGAGCAGAATGGACAAGACCAAGCTCACTTTTCTGCCCGGCCACAGTGCCTGGTGCCCAGGAGCAGTGACCTCTGGTAGCCAAAGCTTGCATTCACTCATTTGCCATAATTCCACCTTTCTCTGAGTTACGTGTCAGTGTTGGGACTGCTCATTCTTAGGACCTGTCTTGTCTCGGCCTAGTTATGTGCAAATCTCCAAACACAGGTTTAACCTGTCTTGGGGACCATCCAATGGTTGAATTGACCATTTGTCACAAGATTGTCTGTGGGACTCTTCTTTCTCTTTCCCCTTCTGGCCCCAAGGTGCCTTCCTCTCTATGGCCATCAGACCCTGGCCGCTTGTCTTTCTTGCCTTAGGGTTTTGTGAACTCAGACACCATGGCAACATTTCTAGGAAGGTGTTTCGTAGAACACTAGCGACTTGCATGTTTGTGTCTATGTGTGTACATGCGATGTGTGTATCTGTGAGTGTGCACATGTGTGGTGGGGTGGGGGAGGAGTGGTAAAAGTCTACCTGGACAAAGCAATTCCCTGTGCAAATAAGTTTCAAAAACAAAGGCCTCTTATATCTCCCATTTTGGAATTTTACAGTGGATGTGAACATTTAAAACTTCTCAGAAATTCTGTATGCTTGTTTAACTTTGTTTATTCCAGTGTCTGCAAACCTATATGACCAGGGAACCATTGGCAAGTGTAATACATATTAAAATCTGTGGACCAGTTTTCCTTCCAGATAAAAGGAAAGGAAATACACAGGGGCTCATGGTGAGGGGAAGCTAAGAGGCTCTAGGGAGTGAAAGCAGGACCCAAGATACAAGGAGATACGAGGTATAGATGGATTGGGAAGGTGGTTTTCCAGGCCTCTGGTGGGGAAGGGCAGGCAGGAGAGGCAGTTTCAGGGCCTGCACAATCTCTGGGTCCATGAGAGAATGTCTATAAAGACGTGGTGCCAGGCATGTAATAAGATGTCAGTACAGCTGTAGAGATTAGTATGATCACTGTGAACTGACCTACCTTTTTAATGACCTTGAAAAACAGCTCTAAGAGGGAAAGAAATGATGAGACAGTCTCCTGTAACAAAGGGATTCTAGTGTAGGAAGGCTCAGCCAGATTTCTCACCGGGTATGAGGAGAGACTATATGACTTTCTCTATATATAAGCAGTCAGTCTCAAACTTGGGTGTAAATGAGAATCACCTGGGAACCCTGTTAAATGTTTATATGCCCACCTTCACTTCTAGAGAATTTTACTCAGTAAGTCTGGGATGGGGCTCAAGGACAACATTTTTCACCAACACATCAGATGATTCTATGCAGGTGTTGCCGCAAGTTCTCTTTGAGCATACTGTTTTGTGGGGCTAATAATTAGTCTGAATAAAAGGGGGAAAAGTAAAGGACGGGAGAATCAAGGGTGGTACTTGGAAAGCTAAAGACAGATGACTTTGAATGAAAGTTGAAGCATGAATCAATGATAAAAGAGCAGAAAGTGCTTATAATTAACTGTGAGGCACAGGTAGGATTGTCTGACTTGAAATTATGGTCATAACCCTCATCAACCACCCACCTCAGGAGATATAATAGGTTAGCTGAGGATGAGAGACGATGCTATGTGTGAACATGTAATTGGGTGCATATGGCGTCATAGTTATGGAGAAGTCTTGATTCAGCACTAAGGGAAGAAAGGTGTTCTTGGGTTTATGAGGCTTTGTGTACTTTTTCAGAAGTTAGGCTACTGTGCCATGATGCCTAGTAACCTCTCTTCATCATGCTGGGTCATGTATTTTGGATAAAAGCTTGGACGATTCAAGCTAAATGACTGCCATTCCAGATAGAAGCATGAGATCAGAAAGTCCTGAAAGGAAGTCTCTGGGAACAAAAAAGGACATGATAGAGCACTTGAAGAGCAAGCAAACACCAACAGTTGTCCCCCCAGCATGAGGATATTATAAAGAGCAAAGTAAAGAAAGAGCAAAAGCAATTAGAACCCCAGGAAAAACAAAAAGCTTCATGAGAAAGAAAATTCAAACAAATACAGTATCTCATGCTTCAGCAACATTATTTATGTAGTCATAATATTGTAAATACTGATTATTGCATAACCAAAAATTATGAAAATAAAACCAAGATAGGTGATGTGTCTGGTGGTTAAGTCATCAGCTGTCATATAGGAACATTGATAGGTTATCCAAGATTGATATTTTAAGCCAATCAAGTTATAAGAGAAGACATATATTATATAGTGATAACTACCAGAAGAAAGGGCTAAAAAGTTAAAAGTGACAGTGGTAACTGAAGGAACATGGGTGTGTAGGAAGGGATGATTGTAGCCTGATGGATTTTATTCTTTCAAGGTTACTGGATTAAAAAAAAAAAAAACATATTATTTAAATTTAGAATGTTACTAAAATATCTGGGGCTCTGATGAGTTTCGGTGCCCCTGGAAGGCATAGGCATCCCGCAAAGGGTCTACAACTCAGAGAATAAAACCATGCTTAGGTCTTCCTTGGTGGGTCCCTATTCCCCAGTCAGCCATGGATGTGCCTCCAGGACCGAGAAGAGAGCAGGAAGCCAGGCTCTGGAGGCAAGAGGAATGCAGGCATCCCTCCCTCTTCAGGAAGGGCCCAGCTTCTGACCTTTAATCATAGACTAGAGTAGGAAGGGGGCAGAGACTGGCCAGGGGAAGGGCTACAGGTGAGGGCTAGAGCTGGGGGTGCTGGGGCCTGGCCAGAAGGTAGGGAGGGTCTCACTTACGTGCACACACTCCTATTGCGTACCTCGGGCGGTCCCCACTGTAATCGCAGTAGAGGCCCCGGTGGGGGTCACAGATGGCTGCCTCTGTGCAGTTGTCCCCGAGCTGCTGAGCACACATTTTACAGCATTCACAGCCATCTGTGATGAGGCTGACCCCCAGTGGGCAGCGGGGTGGGGACGGCGGGCACTCACATGGCCACTTGCAGAATTGGGGGCGTGAAGATGTATCCTCCAGTGGCACTGGGGTGAAGGCCATGGCCGTGGGGGCTGGAGAGAAGGCCTGTAGGGGAAAAGCAGAGATAAAGGGCTGCCAGGCAGGGGTGTCACAGCCTAAAGGGTCGGCAATCACCTTCTCATCTTCCTGGTGTTAAAAGGTTTACATAAAATTATGTTTTTTTCTACCATGTTTTTAATAGCCAGACATCTCCTTTCTCTTCAGTAAAACAAATAGGAGCAAAGAGCCAGGAGGTCGGAGAAGTTAAGCCAATTTCCCCAGTCCCCTTACTGGAGGTGGTGGGGCCCTGATTCTATGTCAGAACTCTGGCCACACTAAGCCTCATATGTGTTTCCTTCCATCCTCGAGCATCCCACAACCTGGGTGTGTTTCCTTCCATCCTCAAGCATCCCACAACCTGGGAGGGCAATGAGTCAGTCTCATTTCACAGATGTGGGACCCGAGGCTCTGAGTAGCAAATGCCTTCTGATGAGTCATGTTTCGAGGTGCAGCCCGGATCCCATTGCCTTTCCTCCTCTGCGCAAAGAGCCACCCTCTTCACTCCACTATGGGTCCTTGGGAACTTGCAGAGCCAGATGACTCATACTTGACAGCAGGTTTTAGCCAGATGACCTATTATTATTATAATTAGTTGCCCTCTGAGCCCCAGGAAAGGCTGCGGTGGGGTGCGGCAGGTGACCCCTTCAGAGCCCACTGTGGCTGGCTCTCCCTGTCCTGTAGAAGGGAGTTAGGCCCCTGTTGCTAGTGCCAGGCCTACAGACAGGAGTCCCCCTGCCCACGCACCTCCCATGGCCGCATTCCCATCCCCAAGCCCCCAGGTTCATCGTCACCCTGAAAATACGATGGACGCAACACTGGGAAGCTGGGAAGAGGAGAGATAGGCCCAAAGAGCCATCCCTGCCCTGAAGAACAGGGAGATAGAATGGGAGGCTGCTCTGGGGTGTCTTTGAGTTTAAGAGTTTCAAGCCGCCTGTATCTCTGGGAGCCAGTCACCTTCACACCCCCTCTGGCTGCCGCCCTGAACCCCTGTCCTGGACCCTTGCTCTTTACACTGGAGGAAGCAGAGACCGCAGGAGAAAGGGAATTGTCTGAGGACAGAGAGTGTGCACACGGCTCCCGGCCATTCTCCCATCCCCAGGCCAGTGTGGTCCCTGCCGGGGAGCATCCCGTCCCGGGCTTCTGAACCGTGATTCCAGAATTCCAAGGTCAGCAGAGGTGGGGACCAGGGCTTCACCCCCTCCACCTCGAACCCGAGAAACCCTGCTCGGTGGAGGTTAGAGATCTGCATTTCAATCTTGGAACGACACATGCTGACATATTCAGATTCTTCTTCCCTTTTCCCGGGGAGGAAACTGAGACCCAGAGAGGCAGAGGAACATGTCCAGGATGACACAATATGTGTCAGGATCTAGGCACAAACCACTCTTATAAGTCTCATTTCTGGGGCGCCTGGGTGGCTCAGTCGTTAAGCGTCTGCCTTCGGCTCAGGTCATGATCCCGGGGTCCTGGGATCGAGCCCCACATCGGGCTCCCTGCTCAGCGGGAAGCCTGCTTCTCCCTCTCCCCTCCCCCTGCTTGTGTTCCCTCTCTCACTGTATCTCTCACTGTCAAATAAATAAAAATCTAAAAAAGAAAAAAAAGTCTCATTTCTACACCCTTCACCTTTGCCCTCTGGGTTCTTGTAATTGCATAACAAACGTTGCTGAGCTAGCTCATAGCCTCTCTCAAGTTCTAGGCATTTGAAGATGAATTTAAAAATTCTTGGATTTTGAAGAACTCACAGCTTATGGGAGAGGCAGACATTAGAGGTGATTTCTTATAGCTCAAAGCTGTACACAGAGTGCTGGGTGTCCCAGGGGGCCCAGGGAGCTCCGTGAAAGTCAGGGCAGGAATTGCTCTGCCCCAGGGCTGTGAAGTCCACCCTTGCACACTTGGCCGGGAGGACTAGCAGCTGGGAGAGATCAGCGGCCGGGAGAGATGATCCAGATTGAGTGGCTGGATTCATTGGGCTCTTGGTTAGGGGTTTCACACGTAATCCTTTTCACTGTAAATATTGATTGAACTCTTGAAAATCAAACGGGCAAACCTTGATTTGAGGCTTCTATGACCTCTGGGCTTGGTTTCAGGGCTCAGTCGTGCCCACTCCTTTCCTAAGGCAGGACCTCTGCCCTGAGTTCCCTGGGACCGAAATGTCCTTCCCACCTCCCTTCACTTGGGCACTGCCACTCAGGCCCCCCCTTAAGGGCCTCCCTCAGAGAGAGCGCTCCTGGTCCGCCGACCTGAGCACCTGGCCTGTCCTGCCAACGCTCTGCACACCTGGTGGCCAGACTTGTGTGTGTTTGGGAGACTAAGCAAGCCCTCGGGGAGGAGGGCAGGGTGGGGCCCTCCACACGGGGCCTGGCCCACAGCAAGGCACCGCAGGGAGGCCTGGGGGCTGTCTGCCACCCATTTCTCCAGATGCCATTGAACCTCTCCCCTCCGTCCCGCCTTATCCCATCCTCACTGGGGGCTTCTCTGCTAGGCTAGAGACAGAGACCCAGGATGGCCAGGAGAATCATGCCTGCAGCCACTTCCATTGTCCATGGGTGACGTGGCTTGGCAAGGCCTTGCTGGCCGGGATCCAGGAACTCTAGGAGGTGGGCAGTGCTGGTCCCTGTTCACCTGGGCGATCGGTTTCCCTGCTTCTGCTTGCTTTTCCTCAGAAATACAATGTGACACAACAAAACCCCAAACCCCCTCATCAATAAACCAGCCAGATGTGCACACACACACACACACACACACCCCTCTTTCTGACTCTGTAGAGAGAATTTTCCTCGTCATTCTGTGACACTAGAAGGCTCAGTGCTTCATAAGCACCCATGAACTGTCTCTAATCAGTCCCCAGGCCCTCAGGATATATATACTCTTGGCAGAGGAAATTTTAAAAAGCCCCTTCCTCCAGGAAGCCTTCCATGCGTTCCCCCGGCCGTGTTAGGGGACTCCCTCCCCACTAGATCGTGAACTGTAAAGGCCTCACTGCTGTCTGTGTGCCTGAAACATGGCCTAGAGCCCACGGCAGGCGTGTGTCAGTGTTGCCTAGTGGGATGGCCACACGGGGGACTGTTGACTACAAGGGGCTTTGGTGTCACTTGATACTCAGGACCTCCAGTCCTGGAACCTCTCCTCTTCGCTCGGATTAAATTTGAGTGTCAACAAAAGAACATGGAACCTGAGACGGCCAGCAGTGTGTTCCTTCTGTGTGGCCTTGGACAAGCTTCCTAACCTTTCTGGGCCTCGACATCCCCATCTGTGATACGGCCACAATAATGCCCCCCTCCGGGAGCTATGGGGAAGGGGAGAGCCCATGTGTGCGGAAGCACTGGTAAGGCCTGGCACATGGCAGGCCCTCAAAAGCATGACTTCTCGCTTGCATTTCTTTGTCGGGGGTCCTCCCGAACTCCCATAGGGCTCAGCATGGGACTTGCGGGGTTGGGCCCTCTGAGCCGGGCTGGGATGGGCTCTCATCTGGCAGGTACCCCTCTCCACATGGTCACCATCTATTCTGGGGTCTCCAGGTTAACGCCCCCCAGAAGGAAGGCTCCTTTTCAGTTACCTGCTGGGAGCCCCAGAACACAGAGTTCCTTAAGGGAAACCAGTTAGGGGAGCTGGGGCAGCGAGGGATGGGCTCTGGGAGGGAGGTCAGCTTAGCTCAGACCTTGCTATTGGCGCCATCTGCTGGTGGGAAGCCTCCTAGGCCTCAGTCCAGGGGAGAAGGTAGAGGGAGTGTGTGGGGGGCCTGAGAACTCCCGAGTCTGATGTGAGCCCCTTGAATCCTTGCTGCCTTGCCCAGCGTTGACACCACAAGGGATGCGACTGTGGATTCTTCCTGATGATGAATTCTCTGTGTGTGTGTGCACGCAGGGAAGCAGAGGGGTGCCATGGGCTTTCTGCCCTCAAGAGTGGACAGTTTAGTTGGGGAAATGTATCGACTCTTCCATGCATTCTATGGGCAGATGCTTAGTGAACAGCTACCATGTGCCCGGCTTTGTGCAGGGCTTGAAGGAAGCAAGGGTGCATGAGACACAACCCCTGTGCTCACCAGCTTACCGCCCATGGGGCCGACAGACACGAACATGGTAACTGTAATTCAGTGTGATCAATGCCATAATGATGGCACCATACATTCCTGCACCCCCCCCTCCAGTCATTGGGTCACTCAACACACCTCTAGTCGGCTCTCCCTGGGCGCCAAGTGTTACACTAGGTGCTGGGCCGACAGTGGGGGATACCACAGGGAAACAAAGCCGACCTGCCTGTGGGAGCATACAGGAAGGCTGGCCATGTCTGCTGGGACTGGGGAGGGCTTCTCCGGGAGCTGGTGTGGGAAGAATAACAGGTGTGTGAAGACGAGCAGGAACAGAGCAGCGAGGAAGGGCACCAAAGCAAATACAAAGGCCAAGAGCAGTGCTCACGGGCTTGTGTCTGGGGCATGGGGAGAATTGCGGTGAGCTGGTGCAGGGTGCAGACGCGAGGTACGAGGAGATGGAGGCTGGAACAGATCACAATGAGGTCATGGGCAACTAGATCAAGGAGGGACCCGAATGCCTGGCTAAAGTCTCAGGCTTTTGGCTGGAGTCTGCTGCCTTCATTCATTGAAGGACTTTAGCAGAATGATCAGGACAGATTTGTGTTTTAGAAACATCACACTGTGTCAAGTCTGGTCTTTACGACGTACTGTCCATGTGACTCTGGGAGTCCACTTTCTGAGCCTTGGTTTTCTCTGCTGTGAAATGCCATCTCTACTACTAGATACCCCCACCCACCAAGGTTCTGGGAAGAAGCACCAAATGAGATCATGGCTAGGGTTTCTAACTTATCTAGCCAGTCCATTCCATTGCAGACCATAGCTGCGGTGACCGCTAGGGGCCAATCTTGAGCTAGGTTTCAGTTTCTGTGGCTGATCTTTTGTCTTCCCCACAGTGGTTGGTATCATGAGCTCCATTTTACAGATCAGCAAAGTGACTTGTTCATGCTCAACATGTAGTAAGTGACAGAATTTGGAC